AAAATCCGATTCTCGACGTTTCAAGCCATTCTGAATCGAATGAGATCAAGTTTGGAAAAAAGTTTAAGTGTGTGTGTGTGACTGAACCGATTTCAAAAATTTAAAAGCCATTCGATGTATCTCGATGAGGACTATCGTTTCTCACGATCAACCGAGCCGTTTTTTTTTTGGAATTTGCATGAAATTGTAAAAATTTTTAACCACGTCTTAGCTCACAATCCTGAATCGATTTTAAAAATCAAAAACGGATAGAAAAATATTTTGCCTGGGAATGATTCTGATTAGTTTTAGATAAAAATCGACAGAGCCGTTATCTTGTAATTAAATATTGAAAAATAATAGTTATTTTTATGAAACTCTTCTTGATGATAAATATCATGGTCTTATAGAACATACTGAAATATTACGGCCCTACGACGAGAGGGCATTCATCAATTCATCAAAGTTTAAAAATATATTATAGCCAATATTTGTGTCGAAATTCGCTTATGTGATGTGATAAGTCAATAAAGTCACTTAGAAATGGCTTTGAAATTAGCAAAAAAATTAATAAATAATCTACAAAACTTCTCTAGTTTTGTAAAAAATATTATCATTCATTCAAATTATCAAATTAGATCTAGAACTATGTATATGATATGTGCAATTCTGTCAGTATTTTCTTATACCAGATGCTTTCACAAAATAATTTATTATAAAAATTTTTTTAAAAAAAGCTTTCGACGTTTTTCAAGAAATATAAAATTGAGATAAAGTTCATACACTGAACTGTCATACGAAAATTGGTTTAATTATATAAATTAATTAAGATTTAAAATAATAGACTAAAAATATTAACAAGAACGTGTTTGCGCACTATAATTAATATAATTACCATTCTATCTATTTCCAAAGAATAATGTAAAATCGAATTCAATGTCGTTTTATTATTCCAATTTTTTATATCGGAATGTATATAACTGTTAGCATGGAATCGTAGTAAATTTTATCTAGTTTCTCCCTATCTAACTGAAAAGAGGTGCTTTCATACGATATATGTGAGTTATTTGACAAAAATCAAGAAAATGTCCCAAATTTTTTATTAATTGCTGAAAAAAATAAAAGATCAAATTCAAAATCGTTTTATTCCAAACTTTTATGTCGGAGGGTGTGCAAGACATGAGATTGTATTAAATTTTATCTAAACATTTTTCGATTTTTTGAAACCCTCAAAGGTAAAATGCCACTTTCATCTTAGTTACTTAGTTATTATTTTAATCCTCAAATACTTTATAACACGATCCGTAACATATGTATTAGCAGAAACAGAAATGTTGGAAATGTAGGAAATGTAGTACGAAATGTAGTCATACACACTCGAATGTATATATGAAATGAGATGAGAGAGCGATGGAACAGCAATGAATAATACAATAATTTATGCATGACAAGCATTGAAATTTCGCAATCTCCACTTCGCTATATTTCACGCTAACAATCCTTTGAGGTAGGAAAGAGAGTGTGTGCTCTCTCGTTTGCACACACTCACACACACACCACACCAAATGATATATATACACAACCCTAAATTTTCACACTCTAAACTAAACTCTAAATTTTCTTGCTCCCAAGGGCTCAAATTGTTCCAAATTGATAAAAAACAATTCTCTGAAAGTTTTAGCTCTTAATATTAACTTTTAGATAGAGCGCAATTCAATCAAAGTTTTGTATGAAAATAGCATGGAAAAAATTTTGAAAATTAAAAACAAAAAGTTTTAGATACAACTTAGCGACAAATGAATTAAAAGTGAAAATTCGTGTCATTTTTTATTGAAAATTCGACGCTCTTGTTTTCCATACAAATCTTTTATCGAATTGCGCTCATAATATTAACCCATAAGTAAATGCCGATATATAAATATAAAGTGTGAATATGCAACTGTTCAAACATAAAAATAAAATTGTCGATAGGCAGTTTTTTAGGCCGTGTTCCGCGTCATTTTGTACCGCAACCTGAAACAACGCAACGCCGCAGGTCAAAAACACAGCGCTGGGATTTCGAAAACCGGTTTTTTAGTAAAAAAAAGTCGGATTTCACTATCATTGAAATACAGCAAATATAAAAGATAGATGAAAGCATTTTGATTCTTGAAATCATATCGCTTCAATAACATTTGATATCTATCAGTGTGCAATGATTCCCAGAAAGGTTTTGAATATATTAATTTAGATTTTTATTTTAGTGTGTATTTTAATGTAAATCAGTGTGGCTTCCTCTACTCTATCTTAAAAAAAAGAGTTTTAAACCCTAGAAGCCACAAATAAAAGAACAAAAAGCTTAGAATTATTATATCAGGCTTTAAAAACAAGCATATTTTGGTCGCGTATTTTCTATTTCAGTAGCAATTCGAAAGGCGTTTGAAATCATATTTTATTAAACAAAAAAAACAATTAAAATGTTTAAAATTAATTAAAATTGTTCGGAACAGGCGATACTCGAGTTTAGCTTAATTGTTTTTACAACTAAAATTTATATTAACAAGTATGTATCAACGTGTATCTAATATGTTCTTTTTTTAATTTAATGAATGTTTTTTATTTAAAAATGTATTAATTCTATTTATTCGAAAACTTTCCTTTCACTATCATAATAATATTTTCATTCTTATATGAGAAAATGATGCATGATGATTAATTATTTTCAAAGTTATTTAATCAAGATAAACTATTATTTTTCAGTTCTACTATTAAAGTTAAAACAATTTTGTTCACTATCCATAAAATTGAACAATAAATAAATTCAGTAAAATACTGCTCTAAATCACACTAAATTTGCGGATAAATTACAAAATATTCGAGCAAAAATTTATTAACTTCCCGTAGGGTAAGTTACAGTAATCGTCCAAAAATCGAAATCAAAAATTTTTTACATTTCTCGACGTTTTGAAGGTTTCTGAACATTTTGGCATACTTCAGAAAAAATGGATGTGTGTGTGTGTGTGTGTGTGTGTGTGGGTGTTTTGTATGTCCGCTTTTTTTCGTCCACGTTTTCGGGCGCACGGATCACAACCGATTTGAATGGTTTAAAAAACATCGATTCCTATTATAGGGAGATGTGCTGATTAGTTTTGGCAAAGGCAGGTCCAGCCGTTACGGGATATGGAGCAAAGAGTGCAAAAAATAGAAAGCGAATTTTTGAGAGAACGGATCAACCGATTTGAATGGTTTAAAAAACACTCGATTCCTATTGATAGGGGAGATGTGATGATTAGTTTTTGGCAAAGGTAGGCCCAGGGTTCGGAGTTACAGAGCTAAATTAAAAAAAAAGGCTGTTTTTGAGAGAACTAAGCGTCCGATTTAAATGATTCAAAGAACTTTCTGCTTTTTCAACAAAACAATTGATTTTGGAAAAAAAAAATTTTTGTTTCTAATTTTTTTTCAAAAAAATTTTTTTGTAATTTGGACTAAAAATTCAAAAAATCACCCAAGCTAAGCACAGTCTAAGCGCCACTCTGGTAAATGTTTACCCAAGTGCGTTTAGACTGTTTGTGTACTGGAGCACTTTTCAATTTGTGTGAAAATTATTGAAAAAATGTGAAAATGCCGCCAAGCTGAGCACAGTATAAGTGAAAATATCGCACAGAATTATTTGCAAATGCGTTTAGACTGTGACTATGCGGGAGCACTTTTTCAATTTTGTGGAAATTTGGCAACTATTTTTTTTTTTTGAAATTTGATTCGAAATGAAATGACGATTGTTATGTTCTGTAGGTGATAAATTGATTTCTTATGATTAACTTTCCGTAGGGTAAGTTATAGTAATCGCACAAAAATCGAAAATGAAATTTTTATATATCTTTACGTTTCAAAGGTTTCTGAATATATTGGCATACCTTAGAGAAAATTGATGTATGTGTGTGTACGGATACAAAGTTTGTCGACGATTTCGGGAAGAATCGGGATGAAGCAATTTGAATAATTCGGGAATCGGGATGAAGCAATTTGAATAATTCAAAAACATTTTACTTGCATTATCAAGATGAAGATTTGATGGAATTTTTATGAAATTAGGTCTAGCGGTTTCAGAGATCTAGTAAAAAAAGTAAAAAAAAATAACATTTGGCGGTCAACAATAATCATTAGACATTAGACATATGCACATCAAATTATCAGATATTTATAGAGATTTTAACAATGAGTATACATTTTGTTAACATTCCTATGGGTTCCGTACCAATGCTTATGCGTTAGACAGCGACGCGGCGCTTACGCGCTTCGATATTTAGTCTCTATGCATTAAAGCAGTACAAAAAATTCCAAAATATTTCAAAATAAATTTTTCAAACAAAAACTTTTGTCAAAAATTTATATAGTTCCTCAAAAATCTATTTTTTTAGAGTAAATTTTTTTAAAAAATGTTAATCTTTTCAAAAAAAAAATAATTTTTGGTACGGGAAGTTCCAGCAATTTGCCTTAAGGCACGATGCCATGCGCCCCACTAGTTTTCTGTATAAAATTCGAAAACCGGTTAAAACCGGTTTTTAGCAAAATTAAAATTCGACACCCGGTTTTTTGAAATGTTGGTTTTTGTATAAACCCTAGCTGGGACTAGCCCAAATACCATTGCTGCAACCTCAAGTTTCATATATAGAAATACATAAAAATAATAAATATTAATAATAATAACATTGAATTGCGCGCTATCTATAAGTTAATATTAAGAGCTAAAACTTTCAGAGAATTTTCTTATATCAATTTGGAAGCATTTAAGCCCTTGGGAGCAAAGAAATTCAAAAATGTCCATATCAAGAACCACCCTACTTTAAACACCAATCAACTAAAAATATTTTTACTACACACAAAAAAAAATTTATTCTACTTACATCTCCGTCCACAGTTGCGGCGCTGGGTACCCTCAAAAGGGCAGGTCTTAAGCCCTTTTTTTCAAACCCTTTTGTTTGTTGGTCTTCGCAGGCGTGGTGGAGCAGCAAAAGACTCGGAGGCGTCAAAGTCACTTGGGCATCACTCAAAGAATTATCTGGGCTAGACAAAGGTAATTCTATGCAACTGGAGGACGTCGGTCCTCCAGCACCACCAGCGGCAGTGTTATTCATCAACATTTGTTGCTGATTTGTTGGAGGCGGGTATAGGGGTTGAAGAGCCATCTGAGGAGAAAGATAATATATATATATATATATATATATATATATATATATATATATATATATATATATGATTTAGTAGTTAATTTTGATGTTGAAATATATGAGTGAGTTCTTGAACTATGATAACAGAACACATAAAAAATTTCAAACACTCCTTTAACTTTTATAATGCCAGTATTCTCTACCATGAACGGAACACCATTCAGAGACGTTTTGCAGAATCTTGTTTCATATCAATATGTGACCACGTGGTGAATAAAAGATCGGATTCCTCCTTACTCTGCGATAACTACCAAGTAATACTAAATAATGTTTCCAAATTTATCTCCTCTGAACAAAACTAAGTGACCTTACTAACCTTGCCAACACTTCCTAGTTTAACTTCGGCCTTGATACCCGAGCTTTACCTACCCATACATAGCAAATTTTGAATAAACCTTAAAAAATTTTTATTTTAGATTTTTGAGTTATTAGTATAACTACTTAGTAATACTAAATAATATTTCCAATTTTTTTTCTCCTAATTCTAACCATACAAACCTAGCCTAACATTACTAGTTTCAACTTCCGACTATTTTCTACTACTACCCGCCCATAACAATCCTGGAATGACCCTTAAAAATCTCTCAAAACATGTGGTGACTTTTATATATGCCTCGGTACTAGCAAAGTACAGAAGTCGTGGCAGAAATTACATAATTCTACTTACATTTTTGTTCAATAAAACTATCATTTTCTGTTTACACATCATACAAAAAAATTATATAAAAAAATGCATAGTGCTGACAAGTTAGTTGTATAAATGTTAGTGCCAAAATCTCTAGTGCTGTGTACACTTCTCTATATGTAACTAACCAACGTAATGTAAGTCCACTTGTATTTTATATGTTTTATCCATCTTCATAAATAATTTGTTTGCTTTACATATATACGAGTTTACATATATTGTATGTTTATATATATATATATATGTATTTGTATATATGTATGTATATATATGTATATTGCTAATTTACATGTATGTTTGTATGTATGTGCATATTTATATGTGTATACATGTAATTATATATACGTGTATATGCATGTATGTATGTATATATATATGTGTATATATATGTATATATATATGTATATGTATATGTATGTATGTATTATATATATATATTATATGTATATGTATATGTATATATATATATATATATATATATATATATTTGTGAGCATTTATGTACATATGTATATTATATATGTATTGTGTATATATATATATATATATATATATATATATATGTATGTATATATATGTATATATATATGTGTGTATATATGTGTATATACATGTTTATGCGTATATGTATGTGTATACGTGTATAGCTATAGTTACATAGATAGTAGGTATGAGTATTGTATGGTTCATACATGTACATGTACCGTCGTTGTGAATATGCATGCACGTTGCATATATGTATATACATATATTTATATGTGTATAGTCTTACATGTATATGTACATATATAGGTATATATTGTTGTATCTGTATATGTATATGTGTATTATATGTTTGTATGTGTGTGTATATGGATATATGCATGTATATATATATATATATATATATATATATGTATATATATATGTATATGTGTGTATATGTGTATGTATATATATGTATATATGCGTAGGTTTATATGAGTGTACTTAAATATTTTTGCCTATACTTTTTAATTATTTATTTAATTCTAGTCTCTACTACCTTTCCTATCTTTTATATTTGGTTTGTTGTTAAGTGTTGCTGTTTGTTAATTTTTCTCTTATTGTATAGTTACTTTACCAATCCACATATATTATAATTACCTAGATATGCTAATTTTCATACTGTTTTTAGATCCACTGATGATGACATTAAATTGAATGTCGAAACGTTTGGAAATAAAGATTATTTTATAAATCTTTGGCTTTTCTTTGTTTGATGTATCGCCCTCAAGAACTCACTCATATATATATATATATATATATATATATATATATATATATAATGAAAACATCCCTTTTGTTTATATATCCCTTACCATATGATTGGGTCCGATAATCATTTGACCTGCAGCCTGTTGGCCCAAAAGTGGAGACCTTTGGGAATTTAGAATATTCTGCCTAGACCTGGGACAATGGGGATGATGATAAATTTGTCCTTGGGCGGGCGAAGGACCGCCCTTTGACATCAGTGATTGCTCTTTTCTATGTTGCCTTGGAATAAAAAATAAAAACACATGTAGAAAGTTTTTTGAATCATTCAAATCGGATGCTTAGATCTCTTAAAATCTGCCATTTTTTTATATTTAGCTCCGTATTTTCGAAACGGATGGACCTGCCTTTGCCAGTGGTACTCCAGAGTTGTTAAAAAAAAATTGAGATCGCTTGAAGACAAAATTTAGAAAAATTCTAATGTTATTGAGATAAAAAATATCGGGAGAATAAAAAATCGCTGGGAGCCAATTTTAGAAGAATTCTAAAGTTATCGAGATAAAAAATATGTGGAGAATAAAAAAAATATGACGTGAATATACTCTTCTAAATTAAATATAAAAATTATTACCAAAAAAAAAAGAAAAAAAAAAAACCATTTCTGGAGTACCCCAAGGAACAGTTCTAGGGTTATTTTTGCACTTATTACATATGAACAATTAGAAAAATAAATTAGCAGGTAGATATAGAATATTGTAATGAACTTTAAAACTTATAGATAACACCGTGGTAATAAATTCAGATCGCTTAGAGACAAAATTTAGAAGAATTCTAAAGTTAATGAGATAAAAAATTTCTGGAGAATAAAAAAATGACGTGAATATACTCTTCGAAATACATTATATAAATAATTTACCGAAAAGAGAGAAAAGAAGAAAAGTGATCAATTCTGGAGTACCCCAAAGAACAGTTCTAGGTCTACTTTTGCACTTATTACATATAAAACAATTAGAAAAATGAATTAGCAGGTAGATATACAATATTCTAATAAATTTTAAAATTTATAGAGAACACTGTGATAATAAATTCATATCGCTTGAAGGCAAAATTTAGAAGAATTCTAAAGTTATTGAGATAAAAAGTATCTGGAGAATAAAAAAATTATGACGTAAATATACTCTTCAAAATGCATTATCTAAATTATTACCAAAAAGAGAGAAAAGAAGAAAAGTGGCCAATTCTGGTGTACCTCAAGGAACAGTTCTAGGGCTACTATTGGACTTATTACATATAAACAATTATAAAAATAGATTAGCTGGTAGATATACAATATTCTGATGAATTTTAAAATTTAAAGAGAACACTGTGATAATAAATTCATAACGCTTAGAAACAAAATTTAGAAAAATTCTAAAGTTATTGGGATAAAAAATATCTGGAGAATAAAAAAATATGACGTTAATATACTCTTCTAAATTTAATATAAGCTCATTACCAAAAAGGAAGAAAAGGAGAAAAGTGGTCAATTCTGGAGTACCCCAAGGAATAGTTCCAGGGCTACTATTAGACTTATTATATATAAACAATTAGAAAAATATATTTGCAGGTAGATGGTAGAATTTTAAAATTCATATAGAATAAGTGTGATAATAATAGAATAGTGTGATAATAAATTCAGATCACTTGGAGACAAAATTTAAAAGAATTCTAAAGTTATTAAGATAAAAAATATCTTCAAAATGAAAAAATTATGACGTGAATATAGTCTTTTAAATACATTATGTAAATTTTTATCAAAAAGAGAGAAAAGAATAAAAGGATCTGGAGTACCTCAAGGAACAGTTCTAGGACTACTATTGGACTTATTACATATAAATCATTAGAAAAATAGACTAGCAGGTAGATGTACAATATTCTAATGAATTTTAAAATTCATAAAAAACACTGTGATAATAAATTCAGATCGCTTGGAGACAAAATTTAGAAGAATTCTAAAGTTATTGAAATAACAAATATCTGGAGAATAAAAAAATTATGACGTAAATATACTCTTCGAAATACATTATGTAAATTCTTACCAAAAAGAGAGAAAAGAAAAAAGTGATCAATTTTGGAGTACCCCAAGGAGCAGTTCTAGAGCTATTTTTGTACTTATTACATAAAACCTATTAGAAAAATAAATTAACATGTAGATATACAAATTTCTATAAATTAAGGGAACACCGTAATATTAAATTCAGAACGCTTGGAAACAAAATTCAGAAAATTTCTAGAGTTATTAAGATAAAAAATAATTTTTAGGAATTTATGAAAAATATGTATAGTTAATTTGAATTTAAATGAAAATTGCATTTGTTAAGTAGAAATTGAATAAAAATTAAGAAAAATAGGAATTACAGAATTCGAAAAGCTGAATGGAATTAGTAGTAAGAAAAAAAAAATATCAGAATTTGCTGAGATTAAAAAGAAGTATGAAGAAAAAAATAAATGAAATAAAGATAGAAGTTGAATAGAATTAGGAAATTGATAGAAAACAGCAAAAATTGAAGAAATTAAGAAGAAGAAGAATATAGAATAAGATATAAATAGATTGAATATGATATGAAAAGTGCTCAGAGGAAGCGAGGCCAAATAAAAAGTTAAAAAAAAACGCTATATTATAATTTTTTCTTGTTAGTGAAAATGTCTATCTATTTGGTATGAGATCAGGAGTATTTTGCATATAAACAAGCACAGAAGAATGTTATGATAAAAAAATTCTATATAGTGTAGTTATCATAAAATTTCTCCTTGCCTGTTTATATGTGAAAATCGCCTGATCACACAGTAAATCGACATTTTCTAACAGAAAAAAGCATAAGATAGCGTTGCCATGACAATGCAGAATTGCCAGGTGAGTTTAGAATATATAGATATCTATTACTATATCTATTATTAATTAGTGGTTAGTACAAAGTACAAAATTACCTCCTATACCTATAAAGCCTGATCCTCTTCATGAGCCTCCTTTTGTACCTCCTGTAAATGTGGGCGATGTACCTAACAATTTCTGCATAACAAGTCGCAGGTTCGCTGTTGTTCGTCGAAGAGGCCAAAGTCGACGTCGAATTAAACCTAAAATAAAATATAGAAAAAAAAAAAACATTTAGTGAAAATTGAGTAGAATGTATATTTCATACCTGGCCCTTTCTTGACGCATTCTGGCCATTTCCCGTTTTTTGGTTTCACTAAATTGTGTGGCAATGACGACTAAACACAAGTTGATCATGAAAAAGCTTCCGATCTGGAAAATAAAAAATAAATTAGTTAAAATAAATTTTAGGTGATATTCTGGATATATATTATATATATATATATATATATATATATATCGATTACCTCCGTATCACGTAGGTTCATATATATTCAATATTTGCTATAAGAATCCCATTGGGAATTTTCTGGAGCTCACGAACCGTAAACAGGAATATGAAATAAGTCTATTTTTCATACAAAATACATACTTGCAATACATACTCTATAATGCACTTCGACGTGTGAATTCGAAATATGAACTTGAAATAAAAATTGAATAAATCTAATCCCTAAAATAGGTGTAATTTATATTTGATCTTTATGTGAAAATGTGATGATAAATAAGAAATAAAATATTGCACTTAAAAAAATTTCACTTAAAAGTTCGATTTGCTTATTTTTGTGTTTTTAATGTTTTTAAGACATTTTGAATCGGTTGACACAATAATTGGTGTAAAAAAATGTGCAAAATTTGAATTTTTGTCTACGATTTCAAAAATGTAATGAATTTATTAGTTTTGTGAGACGCTTGGCGAAGTCGTGGCAGCAAAGTGTGATTTTTTTTATTTAATCGCAAAACTAGCTGTAAGTGGAATTCTTTTTAAAGGCAATTAGGGCATCGTTAGGCCTTAAGGCAAATTGCAGGAACTTCCCGTATCACAAATTATTATTTTTTTAAAAACAAACAACAATTTTGAAAAAAATTTACTTCGAAAAAATTTGATTTTTAAGAAACTATAAATTTTTTTTGAAAAAAAAAATGTTTTCTTTATTTTGACATATTTTGGAAGATCTGAACTTTTTTCAAAGCAATCGTACTGCTTTAACTGCATAGAGATAAAATATAAAGCGCGTAAGCGCCGCGTCGCTGTGTAACGGATAAACATTGGTACGGAACCCATAGGAATGTAAGCAAAATTTATACTTGTTGTTAAAATCTCTATAAAATATCTGATAATTTGTCATATGTCCAATGATCATTTTTGACCGATTAATGGCATTCTTTTTTACTTTTTTCGTTAGATCTCCGAAACCGCTAAACCTGCCCTCATAAAAATTTGATCAATTCTTCATATTGTCAATACAATTAAAATGTTTATTAAAAAATGAATTATTAAAATCAGACGCTCCGTTCTCTTAAAAACTGAGTTAGCGTTTTCTGTACTTTTTGCCCCGTATCTTCGGAACGGCTAAACCTGCTTTTGCCAAAAACTAATCAGCACGTCTCCTTATCAATACGAATCGAATGTTTTTTGAAATATTCAAAATCAACACACACACACACATACATTCATTACATCCATGTTTCAAGTCATTCTGAATCGGTTGACACAATAATTGGTGTAAAAAATGAGCAAAATTTGAATTTTTGTCTACGATTTCAAAATTCTTTTGTATTTATTAGTTTTGTGAGACGATCGGCCAAGTCGTAGCAGAAAAAGCAAAAAAAATTGTTTAATCGCAAAAAATCTTAAACTGATTTTGAAAATTAGAAAACATTTCGAGGAAAATCAGTTGGGATAAATTTTTTTACGTTCAGAGAGTTTATAATTTTGACGAACATCCATAACTATTCACACATACCAGGAAATTTTCTATCTCACGTTAATTCAAAATATTTTAGAATTTTTTTTCAAAATAATTTTTTAATGAAATAATTTTACTATATAAATATTTGTTTCATTAGAGAGACCATCTAAATGGGTGTCTGTCTATCATGAGGTGAAGAAAGGAATTAGCAGTAGGCTATCGTGGAAGTAATTTTGGATTCATGAACCCATTTTGGGTTTGTAGTGACACCATTTATCTTAATCAATCACCTTGCTGTTATCAGTTAGAAATTCCGTCGGCTTCAGACATTGTTTGAACATTGTTAAACCATGGCAATATATCAGATCCAACATTTAATATATACACTATATATACATACTATATATATATATATATTCTATAATATATATATATATATATATATTAATATAAAAATTACTATAATGTAGTAGGTATCATTTCACCCCGCAGCTATTAGTTAGCAAACATTCCGCGAACCGCAAATATTACTTAATGATTCCTTGTAATATTTGCTCATTTAACTTTAATGATGCATTGAAATTCTTGAAGGGTGAAATTTCAAGTTTTCAACTGGAGTTCTTCGTACGGAGTTATGGTTATTAAATTTTCGAATTTGCGGCCGTGAAGTTTTAGACGAGTTTCTTAAACACGGTAATAAATTCTTGTAATATATACTAATAGACATATAGACACACACACATATATATATATATATATATATATATATATAATAATAATATTTCATTTAAAAACTTACCACAATAAGCAAAACAAAATAAATCCAATCCCAAAAGCTATGAGCGTCCTGGACATAGTACATAATATCTGTCCAGCCTTCCAAAGAAATCACCTGAAAATAAAAAATTATCGAATTATTAAACTAAATTAATCTTCAATATATTAAAAAATTACTATATACAATAAAAAATTATTATAAACAATATATTTATATACAATATATATATATATAGATATAAATATATATATATATATATATATATATATATATATATATATATAAAGGTGAATGTGAATCGTGGCTATTAGTCAATTATTCATCAACGATCTGGGGAAACAGAGCTATATTCGCATTCTGAACAGATTATATATATATATATATATATATATATATATACATCTTCAACCAGTCTACGAATAACACACTATCCATTTGTGATTTTTTCAAATCAGTATTTTGTGAAAATATTGTGTAATTTCAAGTTAATGTTTATAATACATAGTATAGTGCATTACCATATCCTAATACCATGGATTATTAAAATTTTCCAATTTAACACTAAGATCAACTAATTTTTCCACTGAATGAAGGCTAGGATTATAGCCGAAACGTATGGATTTAAAATAAATTTTTGAAAAAATTCATGTTTTTTATTGATGTTATGCCCGATTATTAGACTTTGTTAATATATATATATATATATATATATATATATATATATTCAACCTTCCCTTCAAGCAATTTAAAGCAAAATTTCATTATATTAAATTTGCAAATCTTAAAATTAGAAAGGCGATTTTTTTATAGTTCAAAATCACAGGTAAATAATTGTTACTTTCTGCATTTGTAATTAATTTATATATTTTGTGCAATGCATTATTTTATTTATATATTTTGTTCTTGTTAGAAAATCTGATTAACAACAAATTACACATTTTTATTTTAGATTGGACATAAATAAATATGAATAAATAAAAAAAATAAACGAACATAAATAAATAAGAAAAATATATGTATGGAAAGTAAAATGCACTAAAAAATCATGTTATTTTTAGGTTTTTATTTTCCTTCTTGAATTTTAATGTTATGAAACTGTCAAGAATTTTTTATTTGAGAGCATTTTAAAGTCGTTAAAAATGTAGAAAAATATCCCGAATTTTCTATTGCGTTTATCAAAAAATCGATTGTCATTTTATTCAAAACTTTCATCTCGGAGCATATATAATTCTTCACACGGATTTCTAGTAAATTTTATCTAGTTTCTGCTAAGGTAACTAGAAAAGAGTGCCAGGTACAAAGTATTCGAGTTATTTAAAAAAATGTAGAATGATGTCCCGAATCTTTCATATGTATCATATTTGATCACGGGCGAGTGGAATTAGTTGTGTTTATTTAAACATTTCAAATAGGAGTACATGCGAAATTTTTAATGGTTTTGCTAGTTAGTTTAAAAAAAATGTGCGAAACAAAGTTTTTGAGTTATATAAAAAATGTAGAAAAATCTCCCAAATCTATATGTATCATATTTGCTCACAGACGAGCCAAACTTGATTCATTTATTTAAAATTTTCCCATGAGAGTGTATAAGATATTGTACATGGAGTCGTAGTAAATTTTATCTACTTTTACCTAAGCTAACTAAAAAAAGCGTGCGGATCGAAGTTTTTGAGCTAATTGAAAAAATGCAGACTACTGTCCCGAATCCTCTATATGTTAAACTAATTTTATTGTTATAGTTCTAATTATTCTTACTAGAAAACTAAACAAGATATTCTAAATTATATACTTATTAAAATTTCTAAATATATAGTAATTACGAATATTTAATATTGATATATAATTATTTCTATTTTTCCAGATATTATACAAATTCAATTTTGAAAATTTCAAACTCACTGTTCCAACAAAAAGTCTTAATTCTGGAAAATTAGACCCAATCGACCTAGAAATGTTATTTATGATTACGGATCCAACGTTTGAATGAACAAAATTAAGGGGGTTGTTCTTTTTTTATTTTTCTTTGTTTCGGTTTTGAGATTTTTTGATATTATGAAAGATAAAAACCTTAGAATCATTTTAAAAAAAAATCATCTCAATATCTATTTTTTGACGAAGTTATAGATATATATATCTCTATATGTATGATCCTCTGAAAGCGTTTTTTTATCGCTCCGCGAGCTATTGTATGCCAGATTCCTCTTTTTCATTTGAATACCTCATGCACATGACCTTTTTAATGTGTCAGCATCTTTGAACACCATGGTGTATTTAGTACATTAAATTAAATGGTGTATTCTGTACATTATATTAAGAACTTTAAATACGTTTTTCTCAAATTGACTTTTTTCAATGCGGTGCCACAAATTAAAAAAAAACTACAAGTCGGATCAACTTGCATTTTTTTTTAATTTGTTCACCACTGCAATACCTAGTCCCCCTACCTCAAACAACTTGATAACATTACGCAAAAAATTTTTGCGAAGCTTCTCGCCCCAAAAAAGGCCTTTTTTGACACTTTTTTTTTAAATAGCTGCCATTTTGTTCCTTCTTGCTTTTTTTCTTTCATTTTGGTAGCGGGACTGGATTCAAACTTCATCTTCAACGTAGTTTTTTTTTTGTTTCGGGCGAATCGCAACAGATTTATCTGTGGCACCGCAAAAGAGATCGTTTTTGCAAGACCGACTTTGGCGCCCCCTGGTTAAAAAACGACGGCGCAAAAAAAAGAAGAAAATCACGTAATATTCTATGATTTTGTAATTTTTGTTTAAAAAAAACCGCATGTCTCTATGATAAATACATTTCGAGAAAAAACAAAAACAAATACCTTGCGTTTTTTGTAACAAAAAAAGAACAACCCCCTTAATGAAAATTAGCCACAATAAGCGAAAAATTATCACAATTTGGCTAAAGCTTAATTTTCAAACGTTAGATATTTTTCATGACAATTAAGATCAAAACAATATGCTTATTTCGGGTTGACGTTGCGTTCTGGGACACCCTGATATATATATATATATATATATATATATATATATATAATGAATTTAAATATAAATGTGTGTGCATATATATGGTGTGTATATGAAATATTAACATGAACCGCACTGGCAGCCTTGCAACATGTTTTGTTTGTTTCTCTTTGTCGGCGCACATAAGCCTCGCTCGCTGCTCCTCCATACAGCTTCAACCCTCGACCTCACCCTTTCCGCAGGTTGGGCGACGGAGCAGAGAGCGTTATAAGCGAGAAGGGCGATGGGCGATGGGTGAGAGCTTTAATATTTAATTCCTCGGGAACCGGCAAAACCTCAAAGTTTCGAATACGGAAGTTGGCTCGATCCGACTAACGCCACCCTCTCTCACTACTCTCGATTCGACTCTCTTTCGAGAGAGAGAACAAAGTGGCACACAACTATTCCGCCGATAGTGATAGTGATAGCGGTTTTAGGTACAGGTGACGGCATTCGATTGTTTCTACTGTCACGGAAAAACGTTTGTGCATTGTCGGAAGGCGACTTTTAATGAATTGTCGGGGGAGAGCTATTTCTTGCGGAAAAAGAATTGAGACAAAAATTTTATAAAATTCTAACTTAAAATACATACATAATAAGTCGTCATGGTAATTCTTTTTAACCTCCCGTAGGGTAAGTTATAGTAATGGATCGAAAATTGAAAATAATTTTTTTTCCATATCTTCACGTTTCAGAGGTTTCTGAACATTTTAGAATACTTCAGAAAAAATGGATGTGTGTGTGTTATCGGGCGCACGGATAAACCGAATGGAATGGTTCAAAGAACATTCGATTTCTATTGATAGGCAAATGTGCTAATTAGTTTTTAGCAAAAGTAGGTCCAGCCGTTTTAGAGATACTAAACTAATTGTGCAAAAATTTGCAGTTTTCTAGAGATTTTATTATAAGTCATCAATGTATTCACCAATGATAATTCTTTTTTAATTAAGAAATGAGCTAAAGATTGGCTATTGGCAAGTAGTCATAGCTATGTTTAAAAATCTTGATACAAACAATGAATAAAAATTACGACAGATTTTTTAGCTGTTTCACGTGAGCTTTTTATAAACAATCCGTTACCGAAAGCTATTTCGGGCAAAATAATTGAGACAATTTTTTTATAAAATTGGACCGATAAATTCTAACTTGCAATACATACATTATAGGTCATCAATGTATCCAACAATGGTAATTATTTTTCAATTAAGAAATGAGCTGAAGTTTGCCTATTGGCAAGTAGTCATAGCTATGCATAGAAATCTTGATAAAAGTTTACAAACAATGAATAAAAATTACCACAGATTTTTTAATAGTTTTATATGAGCAATTTATAAATAATCCGTTACTGGTAACTTTTTCCTAATGCAGACCAATAAATTTACCTATTGGCAAGTAGCTTTGTAAAAAAAATCTTGATAAAAGTTTTCAAAAAATAACTACTGATTACAGATTTTGAGGTTGATTTTTCAATTTATTTCTAATGAAGCAGTTCGTAAAACTTTGTCTATCGGCAAGCAGTCTAAGTATAACTGTAGAAAACTGTAAAAAATAAATCGACAGAAATCTTTATATTTTAAAGCTAATTTATGCCGCCTGTTTGTACATTTTTAGCATTATCAACTTTTTGCTAATTCAGCATATAGTTAAGGTTTACCTATTGACAAGTAGTCGTAATTATTTCAGAAGGCTGTATAAAATTCTAGCAAAAATGTCTAAAAATTTCAGACCTAGTTACGATCCATCATCACACTTTCTGTCGAAATCAGAATTTGTAGATATGATAATGAATTATATGGTAAGAATAATTGGATAATTTGTTTAAACATTTATATACATATATCTATATATATATATATATATATATAAATATTATAATATATTATAATAAAATATTTCTATTAAAAAATTACCCAGTTTTAAAATGTAACAATTTACGATTATCAAACATGAATAAATAATAACATCCGTAAAATATTTATGTATAATAACACAAGAAAATAATTATTTTGTGGCGTATTAAAGTAATAGTTTATGAGTGTTGTAAATGCGAATTTATAGCAATATAACTAAATTTATGTCTTCTTGAAACCGCCGTAATTATTT